TAATGATTTTTCTATGTTGATTTTATATCCTGCTACCTTGCTATAGCTATTGATGATGTCTAGAAGCTTCTGAGTAGAGTTTTTTGGGTCTTTAAGGTATAGGATCATGTCGTCTGCAAATAGGGATATTTTGACAGTTTCTTTACCTATTTGTATTCCTTTTATTCCTTCTTCTTGCCTAATTGCTCTGGCTAGGAATTCCAGTACTATGTTGAATAGGAGTGGAGATAGTGGGCATCCTTGTCTGGTTCCTGATTTTAGAGGGAATGGTTTTAATTTTTCTCCGTTAAGTATAATGCTGGCTGTAGGTTTGTCACATATAGCTTTTATAATGTTGAGGAACTTTCCTTCTATTCCTAGTTTTCTTAGACTTTTATCATGAAATGGTGTTGGATCTTATCAAAGGCTTTTTCTGCATCTATTGAGATGATCAAGTGGTTTTTGTCTTTGCTTCTGTTAATGTGGTTTATTACGTTTATTGATTTTCGTCTTAATTTCTTAAAAGTAGAAAATCCCAGCACTCAAGAGGTAGAGGCAGAGGTTTTCAGGTTCAAGACCAGCTGGGCTACACAGCAGGACTTTGTCTCAAAAAACAAACAAAAAAGGGAAAGACTCTCTTTTGGTTAGAGTCAGAGGTGTGACCTTGGAATATCAGAGAGATGCAGCATTGCCATTTGAGCTAGAAACTGGAAATCAAGATGTCAGCATGGCCAGGCTCTTTCTGAAGACTCTAGGTAGGGAAGCATCTTTCCTGGCCTCTTCCTGGCTTCTGCTGACATGTAACCATCCTTGGCATTCTTCATCTGTAGCTTCATCACTGCTCTCTGGGTTACATAGCACACAGTTCCATCTTCATGCGGCTTCTTCCTTGTGTTTCCTCTGGTCTGTGTATCCAAATCAACTTCTTGTAACACCCGTGGGTGGGGTTGGTGGTACACAGCTGTAATCCTAGCTCTCAGGGGACTGAGGCAGGAGGATCTTGAGTTCCAGGCCAAAACCAGTTTGTGCAGGGCAAGAATCACACCACCCCGTGAGCTCACCCAGAGTTAGTTTATCAGAAGTTAATTACCCAAGGGATCAAATTAATGAACATCTGGCAAATAGAATCATTACTGAATCTCATGTGACAACCACCTGCTATTCTAATCCTTGTAATGTAACAAAAGTTTGACAAAGAAGGGCCGGGGACCTGGCTCAGTGGGAGAGCGCTTGCCTAGCATGTGTGATCCCAGCACTGGAAAAAAATTACTTTCTGGGTGCCGGTGGCTCGCTTTTGTAATCCCAGCTACTCAGGAGGCAGAGATCAGGAGGATGGTGGTTCAAAGTTATTCCCAGGCAAATAGTTCTCAAGACCCTATTTTGAAAAACACCATCAAAGAAAAGAGGTGGTGGAGTGGCTCAAGGTGTAGGCCCTGAGTTCAAACCCCAGTACTGCAAAAAAAAAAAGTTATTTAAAACTTATGAATTGCTTATTTCTGTATTTTCCATTTTATCTTCTCCAACCATCACTTCCTCATCCAAGGTTCATGGTAAGTGAGGTCCAGGAAAGCAAGACTGTGGAAAGAGGTGGGGAGACTGTAACACTGTAATTCTTGAGTTGAATGGGCTTGGCTGAGTTCAGTCCCCGGTACCACCAAAACGAAAGCTCAACCAAAACAAAAATGAGCAAATCAATTAATGAAACAGAATAAAGAGTATAGAAATAAATCCATACACACACAACCTATTGTGATTAGTAAGCAAAAACAGCAGATAGAGAAAAGATAGCCTTTTCCACAAGTACAAACTACTTTACAGTTACAAAAAACAGACTGATGTTTTCTTAGGGATGGGGGGGAAGGAAGAGAAAGGAATATAGAATGAGAAAGGAGCCACAAGGATACATTGGGTTTGATGAATACATTCACTATCTTGTTTATGGTGTGCTTTCATGGGTGTATGGATATGTGGTGTCAAAATTTATCAAATTAGAGCCAGGTGCCGGTGGCTCATGCCTATAATCCTAGCTATTTAGGAGGCTGAAATCAGAAGCATCACAATTTGAGGCCAGCCAGGGCGAATAGTTTACAAGACCTCATCTCCAAAATAATCAGGGCAAAATTGGCTGATAGAGTGGCTTAAGTGGTAGAGTACCTGCTTTGCAAAAGTGAAGCCCTGAGTTCAAACTCCAGACCCACGCACACAAAAAATTATCAAATTCGGGCCAGGCATACTTAGCCCTAGATATGTGGGAGGTTCAAGGCCAGTCCCCAGGCAAAAAGTGAAAGACCTTATCTAAAAAGTAACTGAGCAAAAAAGAGTTGAGGGTATGGCTCAAGTGGTAGGGTGACTGCCTAGCAAGTGCAAGGACCTGAGTTCAAACACATTTATCAAATTATACACTTTAAATATTTGTTTTTAAATTTGGAGGCTACTTAAAAAGCTGGACATCAATCTACCATTTGATCCAGCAATACCACTCTTGGGGATATACCCAAAAGACTGTGACACAGGTTACTCCAGAGGCACCTGCACACCCATGTTTATTGCAGCACTATTCACAATAGCCAAGTTATGGAAACAGCCAAGATGCCCCACCACTGACGAATGGATTAAGAAAATGTGGTATCTATACACAATGGAATTCTATGCAGCCATGAAGAAGAACAAAATGTTATCATTCGCTGGTAAATGGATGGAATTGGAGAACATCATTCTAAGTGAGGTTAGCCTGGCCCAAAAGACCAAAAATCGTATGTTCTCCCTCATATGTGGACATTAGATCAAGGGCAAACACAACAAGGGGATTGGACTATGAGCACATGATAAAAGCGAGAGCACACAAGGGAGGGGTGAGGACAGGTAAGACACCTAAAAAACTAGCTAGCATTTGTTGCCCTTAACGCAGAGAAACTAAAGCAGATACCTTAAAGCAACTGAGGCCAATAGGAAAAGGGGACCAGGAACTAGAGAAAAGGTTAGATCAAAAAGAATTAACCTAGAAGGTAACACCCACGCACAGGAAATCAATGTGAGTCAATGCCCTGTATAGCTATCCTTATCTCAACCAGCAAAAACCCTTGCTCCTTCCTATTATTGCTTATACTCTCTCTACAACAAAATTAGAAATAAGGGCAAAATAGTTTCTGCTGGGTATTGGGGGGGAGAGGGAGGGGGTGGAGTGGGTGGTAAGGGAGGGGGTGGGGGCAAGGGGGAGAAATGAACCAAGCCTTGTATGCACATACATATGAATAATAAAAGAAAAATGAAAAAAAAATAAATATTTGTTTTTAATATCAGTTATATCTCAATTAAGCTTATATATACATATGTGTGTGTCATTGTGTGTGTGTGTACCAGTTTCATTAGAGTTTTAACAATAGGATTATGGGTATTTTTTAACAATTGGAAATTTCAAACAACCCACTCCAACAACTATTGACTTTTTAAAAACCTGCTTACTTTCATCACACTTCTCGGTTGTGGTTGTTGGAGCATTCTAAAACAAGACCCAGATGTCATATCATTTCACATGGAAATTCTTTTTTTGTTGCTTTTTGGTGGGACTGGGGTTTGAACTCAGGGCTTTGAGCTTGGAAAGCATGTACTCTACCACTTGAGCCACTCCTTCACTCCATTTTACTCTGGTTACTTTAGAGATCAGGTCCCATGAAGTATTTGCCTGAGCTGACCTCCAACTGTGATCCTCCTAGTCTCAGCCTCCCAAGTAGTTAGGATTACAGGCGTGAGTCACCATTGTTGCAGGAGTTTGCTAACTAAGATATGAGACTCTGAGGCAAATAGCATGAAGCAACGTTTTATTGTGCCAGCACAGACTCAGCAAACTCATGTCCAAAGGCTGAGGCCTGAGAACAAAGGGGTCTCACCTTATACACCCTTGCAAGCAGGTTACAGAAGCAAAAAGCAAGGTCTGATCCATATATGGTTATACTTAATTTTATTGGCTACTTTACCCTAGTGATACGTGACCTTCCTCATGTTGAAATTTCTCAGGTTTTCTCTCTCTGCTATACCATCCGTACCTCCCTGCTACTTTCTCAGGACTCAGGCCTAGTCTGTTTTCTTCTGATCCTCCTCCCTGCTACAGCATGACTGACTTCTTTCTTAATATTTCCATTTTGTTCATACATCATTTTCTCAATTTTCTCCATGTCTTCCTTTAGTTCACTGAAGTTAGGATAGCTGTTTGAAGGTCTTTGTCTTGTAGATTTGTCATCAGGTGTTTTTTCATGGAGTTTCTGTTGATGTTTTTTCCCTTCTTATACATCATACTTGTCTGTTTCTTTGTATACCTTGTGATTTTTTTGTTTGTTTGTTGAAAACTGAACATTTGAATTTTTTTAAGTTTTAAAAAAATTTGGGGGGGAGCGGTATTGGGTTTTCTTTTTTTTTTAACTGCTGCTCAGATGGGTTTTCTTGAAGGTAAGTTTCCTTTCTTGCTTCCTTCCTCCTTTCCTCCCTTCCTCCCTCTCTCTCTCTCTTCCTTCCCTTCTTTTCTTCCTTCTTTTTCCTTTTTGTTTTTTTGAGAGGTCTCATTTTGTAGCCTAGGCTGGCCTGGAACACGCGAACCTTTTGCCTCAGTTTCCCTAGTGCTGTGTGGTGCACCACCATACCCAGGGGCGGGCATTATTTCTTATGTTCATTTCATTTTCCTAGATGTCTGATTCTGTGCCCCGCATTCGTAGGTGTCCAGTACGTTTGTTGAATGAACGAATGAACAGACATGCCATTTCACCTTGCAGATCTTGAGGTCCGAGCTTGTCATTGTCATTATGGGGATCAGTAGAGGGTCGCGTGCGCTAACCTGAGCGCTAAACCAGCACAACACCCTCACCACCGGTCTCTAGGCTCCGCCTAAGGCTCAGCTGGAGCGGGCCCCGTCCACAAACAGGATTGGATGAAGGTGGCAACGCCCACCCACTAGGCCGCCTTGGATTGGCGCGGACGCCTCTAGGAGGCGGTGCTAGGACAGGTCGTTGACGTCACTCAGGCGAGAAAAACCCAGGGCGCTGGCGGGCGACACAGACTACGCAGCGTGCTGGGTGGGTTTGCCGGTGCCGGACGGGCGGGACCCACGGGACTGGAGGGAGCGGGGAACGCTGGGAGCTGTGGCTTACACTGGGTGCTGCCCACGTCCGCTTCCCCACGGGCTGCAATCGGCCAAGCCCCGAGCTTTGAGCTGTGCCTGCCCTGGGGACCTGGCGGGCCGAGGTCGTCAGTCCGGTTTTGTTTTCCAGACCCGGAGGATCAAGGTTCTTGGACTACGAGGAACCGCCCAACATGGCATCGGAGGTGAGTGGGACCTCGGGGACGCTGGTCCTCCGAGTATGCAAGCCAGGGGGTGGGGCTCCCTGGGGATCAGCCTAGGCGGGGACCTGCGCGCAGATTTCCCCGTGCCGGACCCGCCGCCCTCCTGAACATTGTCCTTTCCCGCTCTAGGCTGCCAGACCCCTCCATCCCTTCCCCCCATACATATTCCGGCATACCTGCCAGAGCCTGGTAGAGACTTTTTTGGGGAGTCAAAGTTGTCCCCATCACCAACTGCCCTCCTGGCGCCCCCAGGTGGCCCGTGTGACAAACCCACCAACAGGGGATTGGCTGGCCCTGACCTGACTTGACAGTGCTATGCTCCAGCCTGGAAAGGTGCTGTCCACAGGGCAGCTCCTTCATGTCATCACCCCGTGTTCGATCAGTTCCCACCCCACTCCAGCAATTGTCCCTATGCATAGAAAAAGTCTCAGTCCATAAAGTGTCCTTGTCCTCCACTCTGACATGTGGAAAGAGCCAGGAGGTAGGGACCTCCTGGCCCCAGTGACCCCATGGGGTGCCTGCTCCCTGCCTGTCTCATTGGCCTCCCCTCCCTAAGACGAGGGTCTCCTGGCTTCTTTTCCTGACCACTGAGGGCAGGAGTCCAGGGACAGTTTCTTTCCGTGGGCCTTAGCTGATCGGTCTAGAAATGAGGGTAATAACAGCTGGCTGCCTCCATCTGTGAGGCGCGGGGTCATGAGGTCAGTGCTTTGAACCCTGAAGCTTGATGCTGATGTTTGGAACCCTGGGCCTGGGTTCCAGTCCCTTCAAGTCCTTCCCGGCGAGTCACTTCCTCTGTCTTTCCATCTAGATAAATGGGTTAAGAACATGCACTCGGCTAGCTTCTGGGTCATGCTAGAGGGCCTAGACTTTGGAGCGAGACTTGGTTTCTGCACTAGAGTCACTTGAGCTCTGAATGTTTTTGTTCATTTGTAAAGCAGAGATAACAGTGTCTACCTCATGGGAGGGCATAATACATATGTAGAATCCTTCCTACAAGGCCAAGCAACAGTGAGCTCAATAAATGGCAGCTGGGGCTGGGTGTGGTGGCTCACACCTGTAATCCTAGCTACTTGGTAGCTGGCTGAGTTCTGAAGAATCATGATTTGAGGCCAGCCTGGACAAATAGTTTCACGAGACCTCATCTCCAAAATAACCAGAACAAAATGGGCTGGAGGTGTGGCTCAAGCAGTAGAGCACCTGCTTTGCAGCCTTGAAACCCTGAGTTCAAATCATGGTCCCACCTAAAAAAAAAAACAGACAAAGAATGAGGATTTTTCCCTTATGCATGTTAAGTTGGCTGTAGCTCGTTTCACCCAATTTGTCACCTTGACCCTAGCACGTTGGGACTCCCCCTCTCTTCAGTGTCCACTCTTACCTCCTCCTGAGATCCTTTCAAAAGCTTACCAGAGGAGGATCTGACAGCTTGGTCCCAAGGAACAGTGGTCTGTCTTCAGACCAGGGATCCAGGTGACCTCAGCTTGCCCTAGGTCATCCTGTGGGTTGCTACTAATTGGTTTGGCTGAAGCTCTGCTTGTTAAGTAGTTGTTGTTATAACTAACAAGCCAGGCGTGGAAGGCCAGAAGCCTGCTTAGGGAATTGGTGCCAGGCTCCTTCCTGGGCCTCCTACAGCAGGCTCCTGGTTGGCTCCTGATTCCTGGCCCCCTGGCCCCAGTGGCAGGCCCAGGTCCTCACATGGTGAATGGGCCCTGCTTACAAGGCTAAGGGGGGTGGAGGCTGCTTCTGCAGGTCAGAGTCCTTTGGCAGCCAGGCTGGTGAGCACTGAGGGGTCAGGGGTCAGCTCACATGGGGCCAGAGCATGACAGAGGGCCCTAGGGTCTGCACAGAGAAGATAAAGGACACCCCAGTCCCTCTCTTCCTAACAGTTAGCATTTACCAAGTCCTCACTGAGTGCCAGGCACTGTGCTATGCGTGCACTTCACAAATATTATCCAGTTAAGAGCTGGTGGAGTGGCTCAAGCGGTAGAGCACCTGCCTAGCAAGCATAGGGCCCTGAGTTCAAACCCCAGTGCTGCCAAAAGAAAAAAAAAAAGTCTTCCTATACAATTGAATGCCCAAAACAAGCTTAAGGTCCTATTATAATTCTCGTTTTATAGAAAGACAACCTTGAGGTTTGGAGAAGTTATTGAATATGCCAAGGTCAGGTGGTCAACAGAGATCCCGAGCATTGCAGGGGACGGAGGAAGGCATACATACCCAGTGGCTCCTGTAGACCCCCTCCAGTGAAGTAACATGCCACCTCCCCCAGCACGCTCTCTTCCTGGTCTTTGGCACCCCAGGCCCTCTGCACATTCTGCGCTTCTCCCCATGACCCATGCCCTGGCCTATGCCCTCTTTCAAAATGTAGGTGCCTCTGTGCTGTCCCTCTGCGGTTGGCTCCTGAGGGTGAGGGGTCAGCTAGTGTCTTCCTAGAAGACAGTGATAACTGGTGTGTCGAGTGCTCTCCAGAGCCACAGGAAATATGGGAATTGGGACATTAGGTTCCGCACCAAGCTGTAGAAGAGAGCTACGCAGGTATCTGATGAGGCCTTCCACCTGCCTCTGCCCTGCACTGAACATTTAGGACACTGGAGCCAAGCAGAGCCCTGGTAGAACATGGGGTTGAAAGCATGCACTCTGAACTGCCTGTTGCTCATTCAACCCAGCCCAACTCAGTGCCCCTACCCTCTTGTCCCAAAGAGGTCATTCTGCACCAGATGTCTTCTGAATAGAAGCAGCAAGGGTGAGCTGCAAACTCAGTTTCCCCCTTTCTACAGCAGGACAGTATTGTACCTACCTCAGAGGACTGCTATCAGTACATGACAAGGAATTAGAATGGTGCTTAAGAGCTGGAGGCATGGCTCAAGTGGTAGAGTGCCTACCTAGCAAGTGCAAGGCCCTGAGTTCAAGCTCCCATCATACCTAAATAAATAAACAAATAAATAAGAATGGTGCCTGGCACACAGTGAGAATGCCTCATATGTTAGCCAATATGTATGTAGGTATCATTTTCATTAGTACATTGGGGCTAGATTAGAACTCAGGTTCTAGAAATCCCAGCAACTTGGGGAGATGGGCGGATCAGTTTTAAGGTCAGCCCCACCAAGAAAAAAGTTAGTGAGGCCCTATCTCAACAAACAAGCCAGGTGTGATGGAGCACATCTGTAAATCCCAGCTACTCAGGAGTCGGAGGTGGGAGGATATTGGTCCAAGGCCAACCTGAGCAAAAAGCATAAAATGCTATCTGAAAAATAACAAAAGCAAGGAAGGCTGACTCTGTAGCTTTAGTGGTAGAGTGCCTGCCTAGCAAGTGCAAGGCCAGAAGTTCAAATTCCAGTGCCATAAAACAAAAAACTACTCAGGTTCCAGGGTGACTTCCTACATTTGCCAGCGGCAAGAAAAGTCCACGAATTTCTGTTGTGGTCCCAGGCATGCCAGCATCTCTCTGGAGTCATGCCATGTAGTGGGAAAGAATGCTGCCATCTGTGTGCGGCTATGTCCCCACCCTTATCCCCTGAATCTTAGTTTCCTTATCATCTAGTGAGAAGAACCCTGTTCAGTGGCCCCTGTTAATAACTTTCCCCAGGGCCATTTTTTGGCGTTACTGGGGTTTGAACTCAGGGCCTACAACTTGAGCCACTCCACCAGCACTTTTTTGTGATGGAGTTTTTCAAGATAGGGTCTCATGAACTATTTGCCTGGGCCGGCTTCAAACTGAGATCCTCCTGATCTCTGCCTCCTGAGTAGCTGGGATTACAGGTGTGACTACTGATGGCCCACTCCCAGGCCCTTTTCTTGAGAGGCTCTGTTCTGGAGGGTGGGGAAGTGGTTAATTACTCCTGCTCTCTTGGCCAGAGCGGGAAGCTGTGGGGTGGCCGGTTTGTGGGAGCAGTGGACCCCATCATGGAGAAATTCAACTCGTCCATCATGTACGACCAGCGTCTGTGGGAGGTGGACGTGGAGGGCAGCAAGGCATACAGCAGGGGCCTGGAGAAGGCGGGGCTTCTCACCAAGGCCGAGATGGACCGGATCCTGAGTGGCCTGGACAAGGTATTTTCCACATGCTAAGCCCCACCCTACACCCTTCTCCTTGCAGCCTGAATCTCCTGCCAGGTCCCCAAGCACAAATTGTAGGATCCTAAGCTGTCATTTCACCTGGTAACAATCACACAATTTGAGATGCCGTTTAACCACATGCTACAGTAACCATCTCAAATTCTAATGACCCCTGCAGTCCCTCTGGCTCATGGGCAAAGGTGTGCTGGGCCTGAGATGCTCCCTCGAGGTGGGCGCTGTGCCAAGACTCAGGTTGTACAGAGATAATTAGCCATTCAGGAGAGAGAAGCAGGACCCTCTTGCCTACTAACTCCTTTCTACTTGTTCCTCTGGGTTTCTGCCCCTTTCACTCTAGGTGGCTGAAGAATGGGCCCAGGGCACCTTCAAACTGAACCCTAATGATGAGGACATCCACACGGCCAATGAGCGGCGGCTGAAGGTAGGATACCCCCCTCATGCCTCTTTATCTTCCCATGGCCCCATATTTTGGTTCTCTTCATCACTGATAGAAAATGGGTGAGTGGAAACAGCAAGAGACTCAGGCAGGACGGGGGCCCCAGGTAGGGAGGGCCAAGGAACCCCTCCCCGCCTGGGTGGACCCCACTGGGCTGTGAGCAGCCTCTCCCTGACCCCTTGCCTCCCTTTACCCCAGGAGCTCATCGGAGAGACCGCAGGGAAGCTGCACACAGGCCGCAGTCGGAACGACCAGGTACCACCTACCCCTCCATTCCGGCTTTGTGCCTTCCCCACTGTAGCAAGTCCCCATGGCCAGGGCTCAGTAGCAGTCTTCGTGCCCCATGGAAGCTACAGTCTGCTTCCCTGAGCGCCACTTCCTTTTCCCCCACAGGTGGTCACAGACCTCAGGCTATGGATGCGACAGACCTGCTCAAAGCTCTCTACCCTCCTCTGGGCACTCATCAGGACCATGGTGGATCGGGCCGAGGCGTGAGTCCCTAGGGACAGCCAGATGGTTGGGAAGACTGTGAGAGCAGCCAGGCTTTCCTCAGTCCTAGGTGGTAGGGTGAGGAGAGTTAGGGAGTCTGGGTGGGCCTGGAACTCCTGCAGTAGCATGGAGCAATCAGAAGTGGGGCATTTTTTGCAGTATCCCCAGGTCAGCCTAGCTGAGTGGGCAGGAAGAGCTTGCCCTTCAAGGATTGTAGAACAGGAAGGTGGTAAAATGGACTGGAGATGTGGCTCAAGTGGTAGAGCACCTGCTTTGCAAGTTTGAAACCCTGAGTTCAAATCCCAGTCCCACCAGAAAAGATTTATAGGACTAGAACAGAAGCTAAAATGGCAGCTGCCCATGCTAAAGGCCTAGATGAGCCTGGAGCAGCCAGAATCTGCCTGTGCCCACCCAGCACAATGGGAAAGGGCAAAGCCAGAGGCTGCCTCCTGCTGGCCTCACCCTGAACTCTGGCTTCCATGCCCTGATGTCTTTGGGGCTGGCTTTTTTCCTTGTAGACCTGGCCAGCTAGCTGCTGAGATGTCCCTGTGTGGTGTCAGATGTGGAAATTGGCCCTTCCTCAGTGGCCCCACTTTATGGACCTGAGATACCTGGTGGTACTAGAGCATAAGAATTGGGGATTGAGAGACTGATGGGAAGAATAAGGAGTGCATGCCAATGAGAACTGGGTTTGTTTGGTTTTTTTTTTGCAGTATCAGGGCTTGATCTCAGGGCCTATCTACACCTTGAGCCACTCCACCAGCCCTTTTTGTGTTAGGTATTTTTAAGATAGGATCTCGCAAACTATTTGCTTACGCTGGCTTCAAATCACGATCTTCCGAATCTCTGCCTCCTAAGTAGCTAGGATTACAGGCATGAGCCATCAGAACCTAGCAGAGAACTAAGGTTTTTTATGAAGTGATGAAAATATTCTAAAGGCGAGTGTGGTGATGGTTGTGCACTAAAGCATACACTTTATTTATTTATTTGGTGGCAATAGGGTTTGAACTCAGGGCTTCACGCTTGCTCTTGTTGCTTGAGGCACTACATCAGCCCTAAAGCAGATTGTATGTGAATTGTCTCAGTAAAGCTATTATTTACTTATTTTGTGGGAGTGAGGTTTGAACTCAGGTCTTTGTGCTTGCAAAGCAGGTGCTCTACCACTCGAGCCACACCTCCAGTCCGTTTGGCTCTGATTATTTTGGAGGTGGGGTTTCACAAACTATTTGCCTGGGCTGGTCCTGAAATTCAGCCCTCCTGATCGCACATTCCCAAGTGACTAGGATCACAGGCATGAGCCACCAGCACCCAGCTAGTAAAACTATTTACTAAAATTAAAAGAAAGGGCATTCTGGGAGTAGAGCACTTGCCTAGCAAGTGTGAGGCCTTAAGTTCAACCCTAATATGGTAAAAATAAACAAATAAAAAAACTCCCAAAACTCCAGGTAAAAGAAAATGATAAAATGATAACAGAATTAAAAAGAAAACTCAGTACCATTTATCTATATCACCTCTGCCTCTGCACTGATCTTTTCTTTTTGGTGGTACTGGGGTTTAACTCAGGGCTTCATACATGCTAGGCAGGTGTTCTACCACTTGAGCCACACCTCCAGCTTCCCTGCTTTCTTTAAAGTCCCCAGCTTATCTCTGGGGTCCTCAGGAGCTTATCTTGTGTCTCCCACTACAGGATGGTACCAACCATGGGTCTGCTCCCTGTTCTGGCCCCTGCTTATTGCTGCCAAGTGGCCCTGCCCATTGGCTTTGCAGAGTGGCTCTGCCTCAGTCCAAGCTAAGGGTGTAATTCACACTTGGTCCTAGAAAAGCCTTATCTCTTGGTGGCCCATGGCCCTGGCTTTGTCCTTGGAGTACACTACCCTACTTCTGGTCTCTTTCCCTGTAAGACCTGTTTGTCTTAGGAGATCACTGGGATCCTGTTCAGGCAGAGTCTTGTCCCTATCGTCTCTGGAAGGACCCAGGCTTGTCCCAGGCATCATAGGCAGGCTACACCTGAACCTCCACCTGAGTCCCTGCTGGATCCCAGCCCCTCAGACCTCCTGCTCCATCTCTTCCCCTGCAGGGAACGCGATGTTCTCTTCCCAGGGTACACACACCTGCAGAGGGCTCAGCCCATCCTCTGGAGCCACTGGATCCTGAGGTGAGCAGGTGGGGTTCAGGCGACGATGCCAGGGGCCACGACGGAGAGGAGGCCCCAGATGACCCTGACCCTCCAGCCCTGGCTTCCCCCAGCTATGCCGTGGCACTGACCCGAGACTCTGAGCGGCTGCTGGAGGTCCAGAAGAGGATCAACGTCCTGCCCCTGGGGAGGTGAGCAAGGCCTCAGGGCCCCAGCGCCCTGGTGGGGGAGGGGGTGCTGGAACATAGTCAGCATGGCCCTTGGGGGTTGACAGAGTTGGATGGGAAGCTGGCTCATTGCCAGGAGGAGAATCCCACGTGGGTTCAGTTCTCTCTAGGATAGGGACAGCTAAGCTAGCAAATGTGTCTAAGTGGGTCAGAGCTCTCCAGAGAGCCCAGCCAGCTGTCTGCCATTCTCCCTGCTTGGGGACAAGTTCTGGCACCCAAGGTGGCTGGGCCTGGGAAGAGACTCAGCCCCAGGATGAAGCCCCTGAAACTATGACTCAGTTCTGGGGGTGCACGTGTAGATATGTGCCAAGGCCTGCCTGTCAAGAGCCCTGGTTCACCATGAGTCTCTCGTCCCTGCAGCGGGGCCATCGCAGGAAATCCTCTGGGTGTGGACCGGGAGCTGCTCCGAGCAGGTGAGGCCCACGCCCTTCTTCCCCAGGGAGGGTCACCCTCAGTTCTGCCAGGCCCCACAGACACACACGAGATGAGAAGCAGGGCCTGCATTCATTACCTATGGGCACTGAGGTTACAGGTCTTGGGCCCTGGCAGGGGAAACTCAGGGCTCCCTCATGGAACCTTCCCCACCTCCTGCCCCCCCAGTCCTCATTCCTGAAAGGGGGTCAAGGCAGAGATGGCCAGGATAGAGGACACTCCTTGCCCTCCAGCCCAGTTCTCTTTCTCCCTCCCCACTCCAGAACTGAACTTTGGTGCTATCACTCTTAACAGCATGGACGCCACCAGCGAGCGAGACTTTGTGGGTGAGTCCTAGACATCACCCCCTCGTCTCCAGTGACAGCCCCCTGCACTGCACCTCAGCCTCACACCCCAGCCCAGCTTCTCTCCAGTCCTCTCCTCCCCCACCTACCCCTTGTATGGCACCCCCTGGAGCTTCTCCAGGAACCAGACAGGCCTGGTGACCCCAGAGTCTGGTCCTGTCCTCTCCTCCCAAGCCGAGTTCCTGTTCTGGGCTTCGCTGTGCATGACACATCTGAGCAGGATGACTGAGGACCTCATCCTGTACGGCACCAAGGAATTCAGCTTTGTACAGCTCTCAGATGCTTACAGGTAAGGCCTGAGCTGCTGCATGCCCTGTTCTACCTCTGTACCCACCAGCATGGCTTCCTCTCTCCCCGCCCGACTGCTGGACCTGCCAGCAGGCCAGCCGATGGGCCACCAAGCGTCTTCAGTCCCAGCATCTCTGTCCCCAGCACGGGAAGCAGCCTGATGCCCCAAAAGAAAAACCCAGACAGCCTGGAGTTGATCCGAAGCAAGGCGGGGCGAGTGTTTGGGCGGGTGAGCAGGGCAGAGAGGGGGGCAAGGCCTCCGGGCTGACCCAGTGGGTCCTCAGGGGACTGGGACAGATTCAGGGTCCCAGCTGCTGAGCCTCATTCTTCCTGCAGTGTGCTGGGCTCATGATGACCCTCAAGGGACTTCCAAGTACCTACAACAAGGACTTACAGGTGTGAAGTTGTATACAAATCACATCGTGGTTCTCAGGGCTCTGTCCCCAGAACTGCTCCTGCTGTCCTGGCACCCGGCCCCATGGCCACCCTCAGAACTTGGTGCTGTTCCTTGGGGTGGAGTGTGACATGGGCTCAGTGTTTCCATAGAAGGCAGTAGGGATGTCCCAACAGAGCATGGGGCTGGTGACCTTTATCTCTTGCCATGTGTCTCCCAGGAGGACAAGGAAGCTGTGTTTGAAGTGTCAGACACCATGAGTGCTGTCCTTCAGGTGGCCACTGGTGTCATATCTACACTGCAGGTAATGCCTGCCCTTGCCTACTTCACTTGCCTCCTCTCCCCAGACCCGTAGCTCTGGGGTGGGTCTTGGGGTGTGGCTGGAAGATCTGGGGCTGGGAGGAGTTTTGTACCAAAAGCTGCTGCAGTGGAATAGAAGAGGATTAGGCTTAGGGCTCCAGGTTCTGTCACCTGTCCAATGCAGATTTCTTTTCTATTTTTAAAAATTTTTTTGGTGGCATTGGGGCTTAAACTCAGGGCCTTACCCTCGCTAGGCCAGCGCTCTACCACTTGAGCCACTCCACCAGCCCATTTTTTTGTGTTGGGTTTTTTCAAGATAGGGTCTTGTGAACTATTTGCCTGGGCTGGCTTTGAACTGCGATCCTCCTGGTCTCTGCCTCCTGAGTAGCTGGGATTATAGGCATGAGCAACTGCACCTGGCTTCTTTTTAAATCACTTATCATAGGAAATTTCAGTATATGAACATTAGAGAAAGAATAACGAATCCCTATGTATCCACACCCAGCTTTAGCAAATAATCAGCTCATGGTCATCCTTGCTCTACCCACTACTTCCTCCTCCCCCCAATTACTCTGAAGCAAATTCCAGTTTCCGCATCATTCTGTTCCTAAATACTTCAGGAAGTGTCTCTAAAATGCTGGTTCTTAAAAGTGTGTTCTCCAGACTAGCAGCTTTGACCTCAACCTAAGAACTTACAGACATACAATCCTAGGCCCCACTCCAGACCAACTGCATCAGATGCTCCAGGCCCGGGGCCCAGAAACTTGTAGTTTTTTGGGGGTTTTTTGAGACAGAGTCTCACTGTGTGGCCCAGGCTGGCCTGGAACCTGTGATCCTCCTGTCTTAGCCTCCTGACTACTGGGATTATACACATGCACCGTCATACTCCACCAGTTTGGGTTTTTTTTGGTCAGACTTGGGTTTGAACTCAGGGTTTCACACTTGCAAAACAGGCACTCTACTGCTTGAGCCACACCTCCAGTCCATTTTTCTCTGGTTATTTATGGAAATAGGGTCTCCTGAACTATTTGCCCACGCTGGTCTTGAACCAAGATCCTCCTAATTTCAGCCTCCCAAGTAGCTAGGATTACAGGTGTGAGCCTCCAGTGCCTGGCACCAATTTGTATTTTTGATAAGTCTTCCACATAATTCTAATTGCATACTACAGATAAGGATTCAAGACAGGTGCTGGTGGCTCACACCTATAATCCTAGCTACTCAGGAGGCAGGGATCAGGAAGATCAAGGTTTGAAGCCAGTGCAGGCAAATAATTGTTCAAAAGACCCTATCTTGAAAAATCCATCACACACAAAAAAAGGCTGGTGGAGTGGCTCAAGGTGTAGGCCCTGAGTTCAAACCCTCGCACCGCAAAAAGGACTCTGAAGACATCAAGCAATACCACAACAGCAAGTCTAAATCTAAAACCGCTGTATAATTATGAGAAGGTTTAAGAGGAGGAGGGTTGGGCAAGAGAGGAGCCCAAGCTGGACATCCTGGTGAGGGCGGCAGTTTCAGAGCTCACTACTTGCTGGGCCTGCACCTCTTAGGTTCACCACGAGAACATGGTCCAGGCTCTGAGCCCTGACATGCTGGCCACCGACCTCGCCTACTACCTGGTCCGTAAAGGGGTGAGTGAAGGGACGACGATACCCCTCAGCTGGGCATGGGGGAAGTCAGGAAGGGCCACGGATACCCAGGGCAGAGCAGAGAGGAAGAAGCCCATGTCAGAGCTGCCCTCTGCCCTGCACCCCAGATGCCTTTCCGCCAGGCCCACGAGGCCTCTGGGAGAGCTGTGTTCATGGCTGAGACCAAGGGGGTCCCCCTCAACCAGCTGTCACTGCAGGAGCTGCAGACCATCAGGTGTGTCACTCCCTTCCCTCTGCCACCTCCCTGAGGTGAGCCTGGGTAACTGGAGACTGGGGTGGCCTATCTTCTTCTTCCTCCCCAGTCCCCTGTTCTCCGGAGACGTGAGCCACGTATGGGACTATGGGCACAGTGTGGAGCAGTACAGCGCCCTGGGCGGCACAGCACGTTCCAGTGTCGACTGGCAGATCGGCCAGGTGCGGGCACTGTTAAGGGCACAGCAGGCCTAGATGAACCCTCCCAAGCCTGCCCCAAATAAAGTGGGCCCCAGAGGAGGCTGCGTGTGTTTCCTGTCCCAACCTGTCTCCCTCATTGGTGGGCTTGTCGGGGTCTGTTGAATTGGCCAGTGGGAGACATAAACTGGGTACCAATGGTGAGAGTCAGGATGGGGAGCTCCCATCACAACCTCTGCTTTCTCCATCCCTACCTCCTTTATCACAGGATGTCACAGTGACTCCCTACCTGGGTGTCCTTAGCACGAAACGGGTCCTTGGAATTCTGATACCACCTAAGGGGGCACCAGCCAGTCACTACCCATTGCTGATATCCCATGGGCTCACCTCCTCTTATTCTCTCCAGGCTTAACTCATCCTTCTGACCATTTCAGGTTGTCTCTCAGGCCAAGGCCAGGATTGTGGGGGTAACAATGCCATGGGGCATGGTGCATTTGGTAGTGAAGTTAGTCACTCACATAGCATGCAACACCAGGTACTAGGTCAGCCTCATACGAAGGAAAAAACGATGCTGCCTCCATCCTGCAGAGTCATGTGCGGATCATTCCCTAGCATTAACCATGAGGCGAGGGCCACAAAGACGTGGTATCCAGAGGGCCCTGCCCCAGCCCCAGTCAAGGGAGGGATGGCCACACCGAGTCTGCAGAGGGCCCCGATGCCAGCCATGGTAAGTGTAGAGCCCATGGAGATAGAAGGCCTCTTCTACATCATGTCACCCAAATCCTGATAAGCAATGTCTAACATTTGCATTTTATTAATGACAAAAAAAACAAGCTAAACACAAGAGTGAACAACCCCTCCTGAGTGATTCTGGAAACAACAAAGACTGTTGTAAACTTAAGAACTAACGCTCCACACTGGTCACGTGTCTCTAAATTCCAGAAAGCATCAAAGGCCGGGTGTCAGTGGCTCATGCCTGTAATCCTAGCTGCTTGGGAGATGGAGATCAGGAGGATGATGGCTCGAGGCCAGCCTGGGCAAAAAGTTTGTGAGACCCCAGTTCAACCAATCAACCAATAAGCTGTATGTGGTGTCACACCTATGGTTGAAGCCACGTGAGAGGCATGGGCAGAAGGGTCATGGTCCAAGCCAGCTCTGGGAGAAAATGCGAGACCCCCACCTAACAATAACTAAAACAAAAAGGGCTGGAGGAACTGTGCGCTGGTGGTTCACGCTTGTAATCCCAGCTACTCAGGAGGCAGAGATCAGGAGGATCGAAGTTCCAAGCCAGTCCCAGGCAAATAGTTTGTGAGATCCTATCTCAAAAATACTCGATACAAAATAGGACTGGTGAAGTGGCCCAAGTACCTAGCAAGTATGAGGCCCCGAGTTCGAACCCCAGTATTGCTAAAAAAGAAAAGGGAGGTGGGGTGGAGCTGGAAGCATGGATCAAGCAGTAGAGCCCCTGGCTAGGGGCTCTAAGGTCCTGAGTTCAAACCCCAGTACCACCAACAAAACAAAAAGATGGCTTTTCCACCTCCATCAGTGGGGAATGGGTTTAAACATTTTGTTAAAAGCTGCTTCCAGTCCTCAGGAAGCTGAGCAAGGAGCAAGGTTCAAGGCCAGCTTGAGCTACATAGTGAGATGCTGTCTCAACAAACCAAAGGTTGGGATGTAGCTCAGTGATACAGCAATTGCCTAGCATTTGAAAGGCCTTGGGTCTGATTCTTGGCACCAGAAGAAAACAAAGACGAATGAAGCCAGGCATGATGGTGCATGCCTTTAATCCAAGATACTCAGCAGAGACAGGAAGATCTGTAGTTCAAGGCCATCTTGGACAAAGTTAGGGAGACCCTATCAGAAACAAAACATAAACAAAAGGGCTGGGGCCATGGCTCAGTAGACAGTTTGCCTAGCATGTGCAAAGCATCGGGTTCACTGGTGGAGTGGCTCCTTTGGTAGGCAGGCACTAGCAAGCATGAGTTCAAACCCCAGTACCGAAAAAAAAAAAAAAAAAGTTCAAACCCCAGTACCGAAAAAAAAAAAAAAAACAAGAAATTTCAAAAAATTTAAGCATAAAATTCCCAAGTGTGCATCCCACAGCTCAGCGGACAAGGAGGAGCTCTCAGTCAGTCCCATGTTGTGTTAAAATCCTTCTGTGATCAGCTGAGTGTTTCCCTGCCTTTCATTTTGTGAAAATACAGCGTGCACCCCAAAAGCAAATGGTGCCCGAAAAGCAGGGTGAAAGTGAATGTGCTCATTTGAGATCTACTGAAAGGCGGCAAGACCTTGGGGGCAGTTGGGTGGTCTGATGGGAAAAACGAACCCAACAGCCACAGTACAGCACTGAGCGCTGTGCGTCCTGAGCATGCGCAGAGCTTCCAAGGTGGCGGCGCCCCGGACCCACAGACCAGGGGCCTTCTGTACGGTGGTACTCCGTCCCAACAGCCATGGGAAAGTAAGAGAGGCGCATTCTGAGGTCCCAAGTGGATGTGAATTGGGGTGGGGACAGTACCCAACCCACTACATTAGAGTTCAAGCTTCTTGATCTTTGTCATGGAATCTTTGTTTCTTCCTCCCTCTACTCCAACTCAGCCGTAGTAACTTCTTTTTTCTCCGGCTCACTTGGGATTGTCCTGGTAGAATTTGGATGAGGTTTGCAGAGCCATTCCCCTCCTTACGTGACTGGAGTCTAGCGTGCAGGTGTGGACACTCAGCCTGACACACCAGTTAAAGAGCTGAGTGGCGGTGAAGGCAGAGGACCGCGGGCGCAGCAAACGCGAGCCGCCCCCCTCGGGTAGGGACCGGGGCGTTAGGCTTACGGAGGGGAGAACCGGGGCCGGGGTGAAGGGCCGCACACTTAAGCAGTCCAGGCCAGGTGCTGTCTGGGTTCTGGAACTGAGAGAGTTCTAGAAGGCTCTGGAGACGTTGTTATTGCTGTCATCACTTGAGGGAAGCCATCTGGTTCCCATGACATGATTACTCCGGCTCCAGGGGGCAGCCTCCTCGCCCTAGGTCATTGGCCCCATTTGAGGGGTGGTTTGTCCTGCAAGGCGCTGCTGATCCTTTCCTTGGGGGCATTTTCAGTCCCTTGTTATGAAATTATTATCAATCAGTCCCGTCCATCTCTAAGAGACTCAGAGAAGAGAATATAGGTGCAAAGTGGAGGCAGGCGTCAGGTTTTTATCATGCTCTTAGTTAACTTGTGGGCCCCAAGTGAGGAGTCAGAGATTTTCTAACAAAACCAGTTTCTTTCCCTCCCTCTCTTCCTTCCTTCCTCCCTCCCTTCCTTTTTCTCTCTCTCTTTTTCTTTTCTTTCCTTCCTCCCTCCCTCCCTCCTTTCGGTGGTACTGGGGGCTCACACTTGCTAGGCAGGTGCTCTAGCACTTGAGCCATGCCCGAGCCCTTTTTGCTTCAGTTATTTTTGGAATAGGTCTCACGTTTTTGCTGAGGCAGGCCTAGACTGTGATCCTCCTTCCTATGCCTCCCACATAGCTGGGATGACAGACATGTGCCACCATACCCAGCTATGGGTTGAGGTGGGATCTCATGAACTCTTTTGCCCAGACTTGCCTCTAACTGTGATTCTCCTAATCTCTGCTTCCCAAGTAGCTGGAATTACAGGTGTGAGCCACTGTGCCTGGGCAGCAACAACTTCTAAGCACCTGTTAAATTTATAACATGTACTCTAACTCCAAGAGCTAGCGTTGCAGCAGTTGTTCAGTTCTGTGTTACACGATTTCCACCCAAGATTTGAAAGAAAGGACTGTCACATTTTTTTGGGGGGGGGAGGGTAGAGCGGTAGAGCACCTCCTAGCAAGCATGAGGCCTTGAGTTCAAACCCCAGTACTGCCAACAAAACTGATCAGTCTTGTTCTTGGAAGTCACCTTGGGGTGACTGTGAAAGAGAAAGATTCAGGAGGAAAAATTTAGAGGCAAAAACAGAGCCAGACAGGAGCAAAATGGAGTTAGCCATGCCAGTGACCAGTGCCTCCCTTCAGTTTAATCTCCTTTCCTGCTCCTCTGAGTGTCCACCTCTGGGGTGTCGTACTGCATTCTCTTTTTTGTTTTGTTTTGTTTTGGGTGGTACTAGGGTTTGAACTTGAGGTCTCATGCTTGCTAGACTAGCACTCCATCAGACTTTTTTGTGTTGGGATTTTTGAGATAGGGTTTCGTCAAACTATTTGCCTGGGCTGGCCTCAAACTGGGATTCTCCCAATCTCTGCCTCCTGAGTAGCTGGGATTACAGGTGTAAGCCATGGGCACTCAGTCCTTGTGCATTCTTCTTACAGGTCAGCACCTCTGTGGAATGATAACAGGGGAGGAGAAGCAGCCCTGACCCAGTTCCCAGCCCTCCAGGGTGTTTTCCAGATGGGCTCAGGCCCAGGGTAGGTAGGGCTGGAGATCAGAAGTCTGGACTCCAAGAAATTCAATAAAAGTTAAAAACTTCCTATTTCCCTGGGTTGTTATATTTCCTTCTTTTCATTTAGTTTCCCTTGAAGCGAACTCTTAAAGCAAAAAAGGAGCCCTGGGATCTTTTAGATTTGCTATAATAGTCTGCTAATTTTGGACAAAATATATAAAATCACAGCGTTGAAACACTGTTTCCAGACTGGTTCAGTGGTAGAGAGCTTGTCTATCATTTGTGAGGGCCTAGGTTAAATCTTCAGAACTGCAAAATAACAATAATCATTATTATTATTAATAAAAGTGGTTATAATGATATTAAAAAATTAAAAATTGTTTCTGATGAATTCTGCTACAAAGTAGAATTATAGTGTAAACATACTTACTTTTAAAATGTTAAGTACAATTTTTTTCTTGGTGATGCTAGAGTTTGAACTCAGGACTTTGTGCTTGCTAGGCAGGCGTGCTACCACTTGTGCTACAACTCGTCTTTTTTTTTATTTTTATTTTTTATTTATTTTTATTTATTTCTTTTATTCATATGCGCATACAATGTTTGGGTCATTTTTCCCCCTCCCCCCACCCCCTCTTTTTCCCTCCACAACTCGTCTTTAAAACATTAAATGTTCTCCACTGACTAGTGGCTCAAGTGGTAGAGCACCTGCCTAGTAAGCATGAGGCCCTGAGATCAAATGCCAGCACAGCCCAAAAAATTTTTTAAACATTAAATGTTTAAAACAATCACATATCATATGGCTCCATTTATAGGAAGGTGAAATAAAAAATATATATTTGGGCTCTGTCCCAGTTTCTGGCACACAGGTCCCGAATCTTTCAGCATCTCCACAGTGACAAGTGTCTTATTGTTTTGTTTTGATTTATAGTACTAGGGCTTCCATACAACCCAAAAGGGTGACAGTCAGAAAGCTTCTGGGTTGGTGAACATGTAGACGTGTTGGGTGTCTTGAGACTGAAAGTTAGGAGACAGAAAATAGTCAGGCAGAACAGGGACAGGGGAACTCTTGGAAACTTACCAAGGACACAGAAATGAGATAAACAGGTGTGGGGAGTCTGGGGAGACTTGAAACCACTCCCCCAAACCTTGAAACTACTGAGGCATACCAATAGTATGTGAACCATGCCCTGATAGGATGCCTGGCCAATGGGCAGAACCTCAGGGCCATTGGGAAGGAAAACAGGGTTATGCAGTGTCCCCTGCGATGTCCATGGGCGGGCACAGGTGTACATCCTCTGAATGGACTAATAGCACAGAGAATCAATCAGCTTCCCTTCAACTAGGAAATAAAACCCTTATAAAAGCCACTAGGCAAAGAGCCTTGAGGGCTCAGCCCTTCTGAGACCCCTTCATGTATATGAGCTTTCATTCTTGGATCACACGAGATAAAGTTCCCACTAGACAAAGTTCCTGGTAACTACTACAGCTCACCTGAGGCCAGACCCCTGCACCAGGGTCACACCCACAGAGAATATGGACGTGCTGGCCCCCTCCCCCACACCTCGCTCTGTGTACCTCCTCCATCTGGTCATTCTTGAATTATCCTTTACCATAAACCAGCACTCCAGTAGCAAACTGGTTTTCTGAGTTCTGTGAGCCATTCTAGCCAATGATTGAACCTCAGGAGTGGGTCGGGGAACCTCTAGTTTATAGCTGGTTGACCAGTTCTTAAATGTCTGAGATTAAGATACTCATCCATGTGCAGCAAAAGAACCACAGAGCAGGAAGGTGGTGAAGAGCGATACTCTAGCAAATTGGAAGTATACCTCGAGGTGCAGAGATGGGCAGTTTGGACTGACCACCTTAAAGCTACTTGGCCTTGGGGGTCTAATTAGCCAATAGGGTGGGATTACTAGATGGCATGAAATTGAGGTCCTCCTTTTGTAGTCCTCCCCAAATAGTCTGGGAACTGTATAGTGGATGGCTGAATATAGGGAGTCATATGCCTACACTTTATTTATTTATTTTAGCAGTACTGGAGTTTGAACTCGGAGCTTCAAGCTTACTAGGCAGGCTCTCTACCACTTGAGCCACTCCATCAGCCTTTTTTTGTGTTGAGTATTTTTGAGATAGGGTTTCTAGAACTATTTTCTTGGGCTGGCTTCAAACCACAATCCTCCTGATCTCTACTTCCTGGGATTACAGCATGAACCACTGGCACCAGCCAGTGTAGTTCTGAGAAGAGAGTAGGAGCATGGGCATTTGCTCCTCTGCCCTTCCTGGTTTAGTTCGGTGGAAGTTCATATAGGGGTCTTTATCCCCAAAGGCACATGCCTGCCCTTGGTATAGGAAGCCTGCTTGATAAGACTACATAGTCCTTATCTTTTTTTTTTTTTTTTTTTTGCAATACTTGGGCTTGAACTCAGGGCCTTCACCTTGAGCCACTCCACCAGCCCAATTTTTTGTGATAGGGTTGTTTCAAGATAGAGTCTTACCAACTATTTGCTTGGGCTTGCTTCGAACCACAATCCTCCTGATCTCTGCTCCTGAGCAGCTAGGGTTATAGGTGTGAGCCACAGCGCCTGGTCCTTATCTTTTATTTTTTTTAAACATGTTTACTAGCACATATTAGTTGTACAGGGAGTTTCACTGTCACATTTCCATATATGCTTACAAGGAACCTTGGTTACATTCATCCCCTCCATCATTCTCCCTCACCCCTACTTAAAATAATCACAACAAATTTCATTGCTCTATCTCGATACAAGTATATAAAGTGCATTGACTGTACTCCCTCTCCTTCACCCCTCCATTCCTCCTCCCCTCCCACTAGTATCCAACCCCAATAAGGACGTTTTACCTTCCAGTCATTAAAACACCATCACATCCACAGACCATGGCAAACCCACGACATTTTCTGTTGATCATCCAGACAGTGTCCACATGACTCTGAAGGGACACACAGGGCTTGATGGGCCCCCAAGAAATCCTATGGATTGTCGAACTCAGCCATCTTCAAAGAAAAGGAAGAGGCTCTGGGCAGACAGACACTGGAGGACA